CTTCACTAGTAAGTGTATTATGTAAATTGCTTAAAAGCATCTGCTTTTATTTCTAGGATTTAAATATTTTGTTTCAAATTATTCTTTATTTAATATTTTTCTTGATACAAGACAATGGAGTCAATTACAAATTTATTAAAGCTTCGAAAATTATACAAAAATGTATTAGTATTTCAAATTTATTTTTAATTGTAGAATTTCGTCGAATGACAAATTTTATGAAAAGTAATTTGAAGACACAGTCTGTTTAAACCTGGAAACTTGCATTTATTTACTTATAGTGCTCCAGAATATGAACATTTGACGATTTCTCTTTTCTTTTTAGGCTGCTTGGCCGTGAAGTTTAAAAAACATTTTTTAAGAACTCTAAAAAATATTTAATTAAAATTTCAAGATTAAAATTCCACACTTAAAACTTTTGAAAAGATTCTCCACCAGGGAGAAGTTAAGAAAATGTACATTTACCCCGCTTTACTTCAGTAGATATAAAGCTCAAATATCCCAAGTGGTAAGGATTCGTGTCGGAAAAAGAGCCTACACGGATAACATCTTCGTATTAAACTATTAAGAAGATGAAGAAGTGGTAAGGATGACAAGAAAACGAAGATATCCTAGATACGTCAGTTCCAATTTTAACTTTGGAAAATATCAAATTAAAATTACAATGTTTTTTCAACTTGACGGCCAAGCAGTTTGAAAAAAGGTTGGGTCGTTAAACACTTGTATTCGGAACACTGGAAGTAAATTCATGGTAGTTTCCAGTTTTGGACAGATTGTGTCTTCAAATTAATTTTCATAAAATTCATTTGTAATAAAATTGCACTCTCTTTGTTAAGTACTGCAAGAAAACTCTCTTTGTTAAGTACTGCAAGAAAACTATAAATGAGCTTCTTGTCTGGAAAATTGTCGAAACTGACATAGTAGCGATAACAGAGACTAATCACACTGCTACTGGTAACATTAAAATAACACTTCTATCGTCAAAATGCAACTCGATTACTGGTAGGCATTTCGGTACACAAGTTTCGCATTAGCCATGCATTAAAATATACAGGTATCTAAAAAAAATATATTTTGTTTACAATTAAAATAATATAATAAGTGTAAGATTTCATTACAAAATAAAATTTTTCTATACTAACTTGAAGAAACAATTTCGCAGAGAAACCGACAACAATTACAATCTACAATTTAAATTTACTGTAAGAAAACTTTAATTAAAATTTCAATCGTTGATTCGTTTTAATTGATTTATAACACGATTCATCGCGGACTGATCTTGTAACGTCTAAATGTAAGCAAATATTTTTGTGATTATCGCATTATTCATAGAAATTTAACTTACTTCTTAAATAACTGCTTGTCTTTCGTCGAATTATTGTTAGTTTTAAAGCTATAGATTTATATTTTAGATTTCCCGATAGATATATTGTTTTTATTATTGTTTTTACTAAAAATGTGGCTTGAATACTTTCAAAACTGAAATTATGTTCACTGCGTAGTTGACCCTTTTCCATAGTATCGATATACGGTAATAGACAAGTCGATACTACTATATACTATATACAGTATAATGACCGTACATTCGACTGCCTGGTATGTTGGGAGAGGGCGACTCTGCCCATCACCCTTTGTGTCAATGGGCACATAGTNAACATTTCAGACATTGTTATAAATATTTTTATGTATTTCGATTTTAAAAATGTTCGATCCGTTTTAAATTCGAATTTGTTATTGCATATTGGTTCGATTATAGAACGATTGTAAACGTACCAGAAAATTGATCAAATCGAAAATAGTTCATTTGATTCTCGGCAATTTTCATCATTCTCAGCGGTAGGTGTTATATAACAATTACTATGGTTGTTGAAATACTGAATATAAATGGGGTTTACTTGCAAAATCCGAGCGGGCAAAGCCATTGGTAACAGCTAGTCTATATATAAAAATGAGAATGTTTGTTCGCTATAGACTTCTAGGCCGTTTAACCAATTGCTACGAAATTCGGCAGTTACGTTTTATATACACCTAACTTACATAATGTCGTACATTTTATCCCAAAATATGTATTCGATTTCTGTAAAACAATTAATTTCTTTCCATCTTTGAAATGCTGATTTACACAAACCGTTATCTATTGGCAAAAATTTTAACAACATAATAAACTAAATATATTTCTTATGAAAAGGATATAATTTTAAAATGTATATATTATATTAAATTAATTACTGCGAGAATGATATAGCGCGAAATAGACGCGCTATATAATTACTGCCACAGATAGCATATAGCACTTGCCTGCGTGCAATAAAGTGTTACCCTGTGAAAAATCTGTATTTAATTTTTCACATCTAACGACTCGGCTTTTTTCATTTTTGAAGGGTACTTTCTTAATTATAATAAGCTCCTTCCAGTAGCCGAATGCATAAAACCACCGAACTCTTGTAGATAGATAGTCGTGGGTTAAAACATGGAAAAAGAGCTGCCCACTTGGAGTTTTCCCGCTAAGTAGGGTCAAGCTTCTCATAATAGTCTTCCTGGGTTGCATCCTCCCGGTAGATCTCTCATCTGTGGCGTTGCCGTAACCAAATAAAGCAAACTAATTCTAACGAGCGCCATTAGGAACGCGGAGGGAGGCATGTGTGGTGGAGTGGATCCCCGCCACACAGAAATCCCGATTAACGAAGAGGCCGATAAAGAGCCGAATGGACCGGTTTGGAAAACGCTGATGCCGAGGGACGTGACTCGCGTTGAATGGGCTCGCGTAGTCCGCAGGTTGACGGACATTTGGTCGACCGAGTTAAGGGGAAAGGGCAGGGACTATTCCGTCCTTTTGCCTCTTGGTACTACCATTACGCATCGAACAGGAGGATGGAGACGTTACTGGCCCGGTTGAGTAAGGAGACGGCCCCATTGAATAGTTTCCTATATTCCAGACGGCTACATTAACATATTCAAGTAATAAAATGGAAGTTATATGTATTAAAGATATTGATTTTGTAAGTTGTTTTTCTCTTATTGAAGGCCTCAGATGCAGTTTTCCGCTACGTGACCTACAATACAAACTGAAATCAATCGTTTCGTAATATCCTATTCAAAAATATTTCTCTTTCAAGAAAATCTGCATTCGGTTTATTTCAGGCTGCGGATATTAGCGATATAAATCTTTAATGAAAATAAAGCTATTTTGTTGTATTAAATCTCTATTTCTTTAAATGGTTCAGTGTTGTTATTGCTAAATGCAGCAAATAACATTGTACAGTTAAACGCCGGGTTTTTTGAACTTAATTCGTGCCTAAAAGTTGTTCGAAAACTAATTTGTTCTAAAATTGAAACAAATTTTCACATAAGAAACAATATAAAATTTATTATTCCGTTTCCGACCCAAAAACAAAGCCATTTTTTTACTTTATTTTTTGCTATACTTTATGCATTAAAATGCATACGAATGTAATATATTGTATTGCATTCTATAATATATACATATAAAATTTTATATATACATTAGTAGTATATTTAAATATATAAAATTACTTGTGATTCATCATCGCCCAGAGCAAACCGCTGAATCTAAAGAGGTGAAATTTGGTACACAGTTAGGGTACATCATGAAAACGCACACTAAGAAGGGATTTTTCAAAATTCCCCCCAGGGGGGAGAGGGAGAGCATTGGGCATAACTGGAAAAACGGCTTCTACTGTACTATTTTAGATGCGATTTTTTGTTTTTATCTGCGTTTTAGTAGGGTACGTCATGGCAATGCACATTAAGAAGGGATTTTTCGAAATTCCCTTGTGAGGGAGAAGGAGAGGATTAAGGCTTAACCGGAAAACCGGCTTCTACTGTACTATGTAAGATGCGATTTTCTGTTTTTATCTGCGTTTTAGTAGGGTACAGCATGGCAATGCACACTAAGAAGGGATTTTTCGAAATTCTCCCGCGGGCGGGAGAGGGAGAGGTTTTAGTCTTCATCGAGTACTTAGGTGTATTAAATTAATAACATTTCAGACATTGTTATAAATATTTTTATGTATTTCGATTTTAAAAATGTTCGATCCGTTTTAAATTCGAATTTGTTATTGCATATTGGTTCGATTATAGAACGATTGTAAACGTACCAGAAAATTGATCAAATCGAAAATAGTTCATTTGATTCTCGGCAATTTTCATCATTCTCAGCGGTAGGTGTTATATAACAATTACTATGGTTGTTGAAATACTGAATATAAATGGGGTTTACTTGCAAAATCCGAGCGGGCAAAGCCATTGGTAACAGCTAGTCTATATATAAAAATGAGAATGTTTGTTCGCTATAGACTTCTAGGCCGTTTAACCAATTGCTACGAAATTCGGCAGTTACGTTTTATATACACCTAACTTACATAATGTCGTACATTTTATCCCAAAATATGTATTCGATTTCTGTAAAACAATTAATTTCTTTCCATCTTTGAAATGCTGATTTACACAAACCGTTATCTATTGGCAAAAATTTTAACAACATAATAAACTAAATATATTTCTTATAAAAAAGGATATAATTTTAAAAATATATATATATTTTGAATTAATTATAATTTATTTCGCTTCAAAATTAAATAATAAGTTAATAAAACATATATGTGTTCAACACATATTTAACAGATTATCAAGCACTTGCCTGCGTGCAATAAAGTGTTACCCTGTGAAAAATCTGTATTTAATTTTTCACATCTAACGACTCGGCTTTTTTCATTTTTGAAGGGTACTTTCTTAATTATAATAAGCTCCTTCCAGTAGCCGAATGCATAAAACCACCGAACTCTTGTAGATAGATAGTCGTGGGTTAAAACATGGAAAAAGAGCTGCCCACTTGGAGTTTTCCCGCTAAGTAGGGTCAAGCTTCTCATAATAGTCTTCCTGGGTTGCATCCTCCCGGTAGATCTCTCATCTGTGGCGTTGCCGTAACCAAATAAAGCAAACTAATTCTAACGAGCGCCATTAGGAACGCGGAGGGAGGCATGTGTGGTGGAGTGGATCCCCGCCACACAGAAATCCCGATTAACGAAGAGGCCGATAAAGAGCCGAATGGACCGGTTTGGAAAACGCTGATGCCGAGGGACGTGACTCGCGTTGAATGGGCTCGCGTAGTCCGCAGGTTGACGGACATTTGGTCGACCGAGTTAAGGGGAAAGGGCAGGGACTATCTCCGTCCTTTTGCCTCTTGGTACTACCATTACGCATCGAACAGGAGGATGGAGACGTTACTGGCCCGGTTGAGTAAGGAGACGGCCCCATTGAATGGTTTCCTATATTCCAGACGGCTACACGACACGCCGAACTGTCCTCACTGGTCGGAGAGGGAAACGGTAGCCCACTATTGGCTACAATGCCCACAGTACGCAGAAGCCCGCAGAGTCATGGGCGAAGCTCTGAAGGTAAAATTGACAAATAATAGCACACTGATGTCGATATATGAGCCGTCGACGAAGATAGCTCCCCGCCACTTAGTGGTGGCGCTAGAAACCTATGTCGCTCGAACCGGACGGTTTGCGTAACCATCCCAGAGCGACGCCGCATTGGAGAAAGAGCCTAAGAAAAGCTAAACTCTCCATTTAAACTGAGAAGAAGAGTGCCATTAGGATATTTCTACCAGAAACAGGCGGCAGCACTGTCCATAAGAGTCATTTGGCGCCAAACTTCGTAAAGTGTGGTGCGCTCCTTTTCGATAACTGTGAAGTTAGAATTTGTTTCAGAATATGTTACTTTATAGAAACAAAAGTTGAGAAATATTTTATTTTCGGCAATTACCGAGAACTGATCTTTGGATATAATGCTTATAAGTCAAGGTATGTATTATACTTATTCATATGTGCATACACAGTATAATTATGGTAAGTGTCTATCCTTTATACAGTACATGGGGCGTGTTTTTCTAATTTTGCTTTCTTAACGAACTCGATTTTTAAGGTTTTGAGACCTCACTATAACAATAACTCCGGTATAACAATACTGTTTTCCTGGCCCCAAAATATCGCTGTAGTGAGGTTCGACTGTACTGTATACCTAAAACGGTTTTCGGTAAATGAGAGGTGTCTTAAGAGAGCAAAATTAGAAAAAACGCCTCATGTACAGTACAAAGGATAGACATTTACCTGCTTATAAACAAGGAAATTGTATTACATTCTTTTGAACTTTAAGTTGGCTTAAAAAGTTTGTCATTTTGCTTTGACTCATTTTTTTGCAAGCTGTGGTTTACAAATGATTAACGAACTGCATCAAGAGCAGCTAGTTGCTTGTTTCCAATTCCAGGAATTGTGTTGAATTATTTCCATTTGAGAAATAACTTCCAAGATACTGGGGAGTTTACATAAAACTGATTCTTCTTCCTGCTTCCTCATCTTGGACATTGGTCCCTAACTCTGCCAGAATTGCCTCGTCTGTGCCATCTGTAAATAAATATAGCTTTTTGTCAACAGAAATGGATTTTTCTGCCATCATGTCTACTCTGTTGCCTGTAATACTGGAATATTTTTGGCATAGTTTCTGGAGATCTCCACTTTGTGACATCAAAAGCACATTACCAGTCTCGCTGTTTGACACCAGGTCATCATTCTCATTGTCAGATAACATAGGTATATCATTCCTTGAATGAAGACAAGTTTTGCTTCATTTCAGCAGTTCCTAATTGTAACAGGTTGCGAATTCCACCAGCTGCTGGCAACCATCTCATATGCTTGCTTGTTAATTGAAAGGAAATTAAATTCATATAACAGCTTACTAAATGGAATATGTATTGATACTTGGCTTTAAAGCTCCAAATTATTCCCATATCTAGTGGTTGCAACATTGACATACAATTGGACAAAAATAGCATATTTCAAACTGTGGTACTCATTCCATGTTCTGTAAATTTGCCCCAAGTTTTCTGCAGAAAATTTTTTAAAGTTTTGATTGCAAATTTGTTCTAATTAAATGCAAATTAACATATTTGAGGATTCTAATATGCAAATCAACATATTTGAGGATGATTCCATGTTTACTACTTCATTCATTATAATAAACTTTATTAGTTTATTGCGTTATGGTTTTGAGAGAATGAAATTACTTATTGGTTTTTTGAATATCTTGATGGTAATGCTCTGCGATCAGAAAGTATATGAATGGTGTTCTGTCACCTCAGAAAAGTTGAGAACAACTTATTGTAGAGTGGTGTTGAAGCCAATGAAGTTTTTATTTATTTTAAATTTAAGAACGTTATTTAAATCATTCATTTAAAATAATTTCAACTCACTGTATTTTATTATACAAAATTCCATTTCCATCATTAAAAAATATATATATTTATTTTTTCAATAATTAAACTTTACAATAAATTATTTAAGTTAAGTAAATTGATTGATTGGTGATGTCATGCACCACTACATTAATGTTATATGGCCAATCACAGTTATAAACATAGACAAGCCTAACTTCACCAGTGTGATCAGCATCGATGCGGAGTTGAGGAATAATGTCTTGATCTGTGCCCATGGGCCAGATTCATCAAAGTAATTAAATCTATAATTTTATTATTATATACAAGTTTTTATTACTGCTATATAATCTTTCATCAATCAAAATTTCTTCAAATGACTTTGAAATTTTGATATCACACAGATTAAAAATATAGAAAAAATATCAAAGATTTCATCCTTTTCTTTATTTGCTAATTATGGAAATATTTTTATGAAATAATATATCGCATTTAGCCCTTAAAACTATTTAACAATTAGTCTAAATCAACAAGAAGACAGACACACAGTATCTTGTTGATTTAGACTAATTGTTAAATATTTTTATTTTTATGTCAAACTGATAGAAAAATTCCATAATATTAATAAAGAAAGGATGAATTAACCTCAGCAGCCAGTTACTATTGGAGATTTACCAGATCTTTTTGTAATATTTAATTTAACTATCTCTTCGGCAGTTGTCGGGTGAATTCCAACTGTTTGATCCAAGTGCTGTTTTGTCATACCACATCTAAAAATTAATACATTAAAAAATTCAGATATTTCCATTTCAGTTCAATTAAGTTAAAACTTCTTACTTCATTGCTGTAGCAAAACCTTGAATAATTTCCCCTGCATGTGGTCCAGTAATATGTAGACCCAGAACTTTTTGAGGAGCATCTCTTAGACACACTGCCTGAAAAACATCTTGATTTAAGAAATACAATACATAAAATAAAATAGAACAAGAAAATGTTTTTTATATTTATTTTAGAAAATTGTTCATTTTGTTAAGAGCAATTTATATATAACATGTATATACACTCATGTTTGTGAAAATTGCAACACCATGAAGGAATTGTGCAAATTGAACTAAACTTACAGGAAATGTAAAGTGAGGTAAGATGTGCAAATGAATAGAATTACAAAGCGATTGCACATGCGTGGAACAAGAACCAGCTCCTTATCATCTGCTTGATCCAGGTATATAAAGGACTGTAAGGATGCATTGAAATCCGTTTATCTTCCTCTGTCTGCGGTAAATGTTTCATTGGTGGTCAATATGCCTCGTCAAAAGTGGAGGAAGCCATACCAACGATTAACGGAGTTCGTACAAGGCCGCATTGTCAGTATGCGAGAGGGTGGATTTTCGTATCGCGAAATCACAGCCCACACGCAGTGTAATGCCACAACAGTGATGCGTGTTTGGAAGAAATGGACAGAGGAAAACTAAATAAGGCAAAAACCTGGCAGTGGGGAAGCAATAGCACAATGGCACAGGACAACAGACACCTCATCCACATGGCTGTGATGGACCGTACAGCATCCTCTCATGTGTTAGGACAACATTGGAGCATGGCTACAGGTGTTTTGTTGTCTAGCTCCATGGTTCTTCGCCATCTGGTGCAGCATCAACTGCATGCAACGATTCCTCTGTGCAGGATTCCCCTCTTGCTGATTCACAGACACCTTTGACTTTAATGGGCTCAGCAACACAGCGCATGTCATGCCCAGTTGCAACAAGTTGTTTTTTCCGACGAATCTCACTACAATCTGCAGTACAATGATGGAAGAGTACCTGTCAGACGTTACAGAGGGGAACGTCTGCTCCCACAGTGTGTTATCCCACGTCATACTGCACAAACGCCTGGCATCATGGTGTGGGGAGCTATTGGGTATAATTGTCGATCCCATCTAGTGCACATTGCAGGCAATCTGAACAGTGATCGCTACATATGGGAAATTGTGGAGCCAGAAGTTCTCCCCCTTCTTTGATGCATTCCAGGTGCTGTATTTCAGCAGGATAATGCCCGTGCACATGTTTTTCAGACTGCACAAGTCTTTTTCAGTGCACAACAGGTTTCATTTCTTCCATGACCTGCTTATTCCCTGGATATGTTGCCCATCGAGCATATCAGGGATTTCATTGGTCGGCAACTCGCTCATACAGCTAGTGGGACACACAATAAGACTGAACCTTGGCATCAAGTTGAAGCCATCTGGAATGTCATTCCCCAGGATTACATTCAGAACCTGTATGATTCAATGCCATGACGTGTACAGGCTCTCATTGCTCAGCGTGGCAGACACACAAAGTACTGATTTCTGACGTTCTTTTTGTTTTTTTGTCTTGTAAATTTGATCATTTATTTGTATCACTATCAGTAATATGTGGAATAAATTTCATTAATTTCTGACAATTCCTTCATGGTGTTGCAATTTTCACAAACATGAGTGTATTAAAGACTGTATGATTCAAGAAAGGTACCAGCAGATTATAAGCATACTTTCCACCTTTAGAATGGAAAATAGTAAAACATTGGTTTTTAAATAAAAATGCTGGCAGCATAAAAATCAAAAAAAATTTTTATTGCCATAAACAATGTCAAGAGTATGGCAATAGCTTTATACTCTTTAACATCACAATTTTAAAAAATCTAGCAACAAGAGTTGCATAACTTTCCAACTGTTAAGAGTTTTTTTAAATAAAAATTTTTATGTAATTAAGCAAAAAAATAAAATTGTGTGGGGCACCATCGGTTATCAGATTTTGTTATAAAAACTTTTTATATTTTAATTACTACAGAGTGGCAAAAAGCCTAATTTTTAGGTAGGAATGAGTTTTATAAAAAAGTGTAAATGTTAATAATGAACAAAATCTTTGTTAAGTCCCACACCTCTACATGACTCCCACTCAACCTTTCACTACCAAAATTTAATAGCATCAATGCCCCTCATACAAGCCACTTTGCCAAATTTCAATTCTTAATCTTTATCTCATCCTGAGATATTGAATGAAATAAATGCCAATAGACACAATCCATGGAATTTTTTTTGCTGTTTTTTTGACTGTTTCAGGTTCAAGGGTCTCAAAATGTAGAGACTTGCAAAAACTTGGAATTGTGTTAAATTTTATCTTCAAATACTTTCCCTTGTTATGTATACATAACAGCCAGGAAAGTAAACAGTTAAGTATTTATGGGATACATCATAAATCTACATCCAGATTTATTGGGTGTTCGATTTTGATGTGTCATGAGTTGATATTACATGATGAGTGCCTCTTGTTATATGCCTTTGTGCAATGTTTTATTTTGTTAACAATTTCTTTTATTATAGTGTACTCGTGACAGTTGCTATCAATCAGTCTATTGACTTTCACTGAAATTATTAAGGACAATAATTTTTCTAGTTGTGATTTATTTCCTATCTCTGTCTTACTTTTCCTTATCATACTGAATACCTTTTCTTTTTGCTACACAGCAATGCAGAAGAAGCCTGCAATGCTGTGTGGCAAAACCATGAAACACAAGATGGTAACTTTGTGTCATGAGGAAAACTTTTGTGTAATAGTTTTATTTTAAAAAATAGTATAATAATGGAACCAGAAATGGAAAAGTTTGAAATTACTGATTGTGATTTGGAGAATGAATTTAATCCAAATAGGATAAGACCTCAGTCTAAACATAAGCAGATTTATGGAATTTGGGCTAATGATGACAGTGATGATGATTGACCCAGTTTTAGTAGTAAAGGCAAAAATGCTGTTTCTGCTCCAATTAGTTTTATTAGTGGAGGTATTAAAAAATCTGGTCAAAAAGAAGAAAAAGATGGCAATGATGATGAAAATTCATCTTCAGATGAAGTACCTCAAAAATCTAAATATTATCAAAGAAATTTATTTTCTGGAAAATCATTAGCAGGAATGAGAGGTGTTGACATATCTTATAAAGAATTTGGAGGTTGGAAAAAGTATACTAAAGGAATTAGAGTTAGACTCTTATTGCAGATGGGTTATCAGGTAAAGTTTAGGAAAAGATTTGAAAAGGATAATAACTCCAATTGAAGCAAAACAAAGAAAAGGTAAAGGAGCAATTGGACTTTATGGGCCTGAACATAAGCAGAAACCTACAGCAGCTGCAGATATTGAAGAAAAAGAACTAAAAATATTGTTACATCAGTGGAATAAACAAGATGGTGAATCACATAAAACAAAATATGTTTATAGAACAATTGATGATGTCAAATCTGACAGTATTGGTAAAAAATTTCTTGGCAATCCCAACAAATTGAGCAAGGTAAAAGTAATATATATGACAGGCCCAGAACAGAGGGTGTTTGCAGGTTATCATCAAATTCATCAACAGCATAGTAAACCAAAGGAATGGGAAGATACTGATAAGATAAAAAAAAGAGGACATCATTTTTCACTCCCAGAACAAGAAATTATTCATAATGATAGACAGTTATCTCATGAAAATGATTATATAGTTAATTTGAAACATGAAAAATTAGCAAAAGTTATGAAAGATGAAAAGAAACAAATTGAAACTTTAAAAAGTGTAATGTTGGTAATTGATGAACTATATGACAGAAATAAAAGTGATTGTGCAAATCCTTTAACTTTTGAATCAACTATGGAAGCTCTTAAGAAACTTCAGCAAGAATTTTACAAAGAATATGTCAGGTATGGTTTAAATGATATTTCAGCTGCAATTGTATATCTCCTAATGAAGAAACATTTGGAATCAACAGATCCTTTGAGGGATCCTTTATTTTCAATATATTTATTTAAAGAATGGCAAAATTTATTACAGATTCAAGGTCTTCATTCAGGAAAATTATCTGGTGGAATGGATGAAGATTGTCATCCATATGTGGATTGTATGGATGCATTGTGTACGTAAAGCTTTCCTTTCGTGGAATGTTTGACAATGTGATTCTGTGATCGAACTACTTGAAAATTGGATGCAGCTCTTATCTGCCTAGATAATGGATAACATTCTTGAGCAGTTCTTTCTGCAATCTTTGAAGAATTAAGTTGAAGATTGGAATCCTTTAACTGATACCATACCAATTCACACTTGGTTACATCCATGACTTCCTTTAATGGGAAACAAATTACAACCATTATATGCTCCTATTTGCAATCAATTAGCACATGCTTTGACTAATTGGCATCCTAGTGACTGCTCTGCAAAATTAATTCTTGAGCCTTGGAGAGCTGTTTTTCCACTTGGGACAATGGAATCATTTGTTGTTGCTAATATTGTTCCAAAGTTAGCTTTAGTTTTACAGAATTTTATCATAAATCCACGTCAACAACATTTAGATGTTTGGCATTGGGTAATGGCATGGGAAGATATAATACCTTTACCAATCTTGGCAAATTTATTTGAAAAAAATTTTTTCTCCCCATTGGCAGCAAGTGTTCTCTAACATTTTGGCTTGAGAATAAGCTTCAACTGTAAAATTTTGGAGTGTATTTACAATATATGCTATAGGTGATGACCCAATGGAGCAGGTTCTGAAATTTAAAGCTAAGAATTATTCTTAGAAGCATGCTTCATTAACACACAACAAATTACGAAGTTACAAAATGGTATATGGGATGGAAATCAATATTTTCAGAAGCTCTCTTAAATTATCCATTATTAAATAACAGTTTAGACATGCATTAGATATTATGAACAGAGCTGTAACATCTCCACAAGGATTACTCAGTTATCTACCTGGAGCTAGAGAAAGTATTGTATATTTAAAAAGAGAAGAAATGGATAACCTACCCGACAGAACCAAAAGAGATTAAGATTCAATTGCTCAAGCAATTTGAGGGTCATCGTGCTGCTTCTCTCTCTATGAATTTTAAAGATCTTATTGAAAAGAAAGCAGAAGAAAAAAACATTATATTCATGCCTGTACCCAATCATTTTCAGGAAGGAAAACAAGTGTATCGATTTGGGCAAACCCTTTTATATCTCGATCATAGTATAAAATTTGTTTTTAATGAAAAAACATGGGTACCAACTTCACTGCAGACATTACTGGACACTAATTAAAAAACTTATTGATGTCTTTAAAAAGACAGACAAAATTATTTAATTTTTCAACATTATTATTTTACAAGACTTTAAATCTTTGTAAGATCTCCCAAATCTCAAAGAATCATCTGGTTTCCTTTCTTCATAAAGTTCATACCATATAGCATGTATGAATCAGTTGTTTCTTCATTTTGGGTGGAGAAATTATAATGCTGCTCAATAATTTGGTCTAATTTTGTGAAAGTAACTAGTTTCCTTCTGCTGATGAATCTGCCATGATTGATTTAACAGCCAATGTGATGTCACTAATGTTGTCAGACTAATGTTGGCAATTTATCATATCTGCCATTTAAAATTATCACATTTGAACTGAAATTCTCATACATAAACCAGCATGCATATATATAAACATATCAACCTTGGTTCTTTTGCAATTGAATGAATCTGAAAATGTTCTGGTTAGATTCATTCATTCATAATAAAATACATACAATGTCTTTGGCATGTATATTGGTATTAGACTCATTAAATAAAGAGTTTGTGATAATATCAGATTCTTTAAAAATGCTGACAAAAGGAAGAAAGAAGCCTGTTCACTGACAGAGCAAATAAATTGCTGCTGGTCAATGCCAAATGCTGATGGTTGGCAATTATGTTTAAGCTATATAGTTGGCCTAATTATAACTATTATAGCATTGGCCAGCATGAGTCCAACCCAGAGATAGGAATGGTGTCCTGACCTGTATTGTCTGTGTATGTGTTGAAAAATATATTAACATTTATTCAAAAATATACATAAATATTTAAAGAAATATTATAGAGTATAAAAATGCTATAATATACAGGGTGGGTGGAAAGTAATTAGGCATTGAGAAATAGTTAAGTTTTGTAATAATAATACAATTATAATAAAATTTGTGTGTGCATGTACATCAATCAATGGAGTTTTATAATTCATGCATTGATGGTGTCTCAGTTACTATGGGCTCAATAGTAATTGAGACAGGCTGCAGTGGTAGAAAAGATGGCTGACTGCTTGTCTGTTCAGGAGTGAGTTCAGAGTGCTGCATGCTATGAGATGTGGAAATAACCAGTGGTTGCTGTTGCAGAGATGGTGATGTATGTAAAAAAGGACATCATGCCACAATCTGTCCAGAAACAATCAAGAATTGCCATTCAAACTAAAGACTAGGTTTGGTTGTGGACACATAAAGAAGTGACTTTCCATTCACATCACAATCCTTGGTCATTTGAGGAAGTTGGTAGATACCACTAGTGCCTACATTTAATTTTAAGGTATGCATCTGTATTTCTATTTAATAAAGACCATGAAAAGTGTGCAAAATTTTACATGTGAGATTTAAATGAATATACAATTTATAAAACTGTGACATTATCTTTGGATAATTCAGATAATTACTATAATTTTGAGATCAAATTGCTAAATTGAGAAGAAATAAAGAATATAATTTTAAACAAGACTATATGAAAGTACTCATTTTGAAGAAATTACATCATATATAACAAATATACAATATTTATAAAAGAAAATGAACCTATGAAAAGGAGAGTGATATTTTACTTTTATTACTGAACTAGCAAAGAATGCCCTGTCTGTGTTCCCTGAGAACTCAGGAAGAGCATTGAGTTGTCCTTGTTATATGGTGGCAGAGAGTAACTATGCAAAATTTGGAAGTTTAATAAAGCCCACAAGGCAATGAAAGAATTGACCTTGAATGGAACAGACAAACTGCAAAATTTCTCACATCATTGTATTGTTGTAAGAATGTCTTTCTTGTACATTTTCCTTTTCTAATATGAAAACAGTATACAGGTATACCTCGCCTTACGTCGGTAATTAGTTCCAGGAGAACGACGTAAGTCGAAAAACGGCGTAAGTTGAATTTACTTGTCTCTGAATCTACTTATCACTAGGCTAAACCGTAAATTACCATTCCCGGTTCTGTATTTTATTTATTAATGCATTTTTAATAATATATGGTTAATAAAAANTATTTTATTTATTAATGCATTTTTAATAATATATGGTTAATAAAAATCTATTTTAAGCTTACAAACAAATAAATTTTAGTTTTTAATATAGTACAGAAAAAAAGTAATCTAAATTTACGAATGCATGTACTGTAAATACAGTACATACTTGTATATATTTTAATATGATTTTATGTGCTTTAAACGTTTTTCTAGTGATATTACAACTTCAATATTTGTAGCGGAAAGACGTAAAGTCGAATAAAATGACTTAAACTTGATTTTTATTTTTCCATATACTTTTTTGACAAACGATGTATAATCGGGAACGACGTAACTCAAAACGACATAAGTCGAGGTATGCCTGTATAGCTTATGTTCATCTGAAAAGAATAAGCTTTCCAGTAGTGAAAGAATTTAAAAAATTGGTTCAGTAGATTCAGAGATTACCTCTAGCAAACAAACATTCTCACTTTATAGATTAGTATAGATTTAGGAGAAAAATTAAGGTTTCAAAAATTATCTGTGTGAATTCATTTGTCAGATGATGACATAAAATCTTATCAAGTATTTGTTAAAACCATAACAATTATTACAATATTTGTAAACAATTTCAAAGGAGACGAATTTCTGTTAAAATTCAAGAAAAATTTATATTTAAAAATTTTAGTTCAGATTATATATGCTTGTAAGCATTAACAATTATAAGCTCTATATTTTATTGTTCCAAATTAATTTAAAAGCTAATTTTTAAGTGTTTTTGTTACCTAAGAGAAGTACTTAACAGTTACTTCTCTTAGGTAAATGATTACATCAGTCAGTCTAAAATACTTACTTTAATATAACAATGAGATGTTTCCTCTCCTGTCACTACGCTTTCCAATGGTTTGTAAAAAGCATGATATATTTCAATTTTCTCCTCTTTATGTAATTTAACAGCTGTTTCTTCTGAAAAACCAACACAACCATATTCTAAAGGTGTAAAAACAGTTGTTGGCACCTAACAAAAGTTTAATTAATATCTTAGTAACAAATAAATTATATTTTGTATTTTCTAAAAGAGCAAAAGTTGAAAAGTGATTTTATAAAGTGAATAATAATATATTTACATTATTATAATCCATTTGAATGGTTGAATTACTAAATAATCTTTGAGCAAGTAATCTTCCAGCTTTAATTGCAACAGGAGTTAACTCAGGTTTATCCTAAGTTAATATTCAAACTGTGAGATAAGATATTACAGAAACATACAAATTTTATTATTTTAAATATATATTATATAATAATAGCTGAAATTAAAAATATCGAAACAAATTGGATTTATTGTTATATTAGACATTATCAAACAAATCAGCAGGTCTCTAGGATCAGCAAATGTTGAATTAAATTCTTCAAGAATGGAAGTGTAAATTTCTTACATAACATTTGATTAATTAATCAATATGAAGCATCAGCACATTAAGACTGTATGACCACTCACAATTATTCTCATTAAAGAGAGCCAATCCAAAATGGTATCAACCAGCATGTATGACAGATGTGGAATGATGCTTTAATCTGTACTATTCATGATAAATTGTCTTACTGAGTTCAAATCAAGTTCCTCATATCTGCAAATTGTCATCATTTTGTAACCATTCAAAAACAATAGTTAAGTTTAAGCTAAATGGCCATGTTATAAGATATAATATAGTAAAACTGTTACTGTTTGTACAGAAGTTTATCAATGTTAAATATGTAGTCTATTATTAGTTTTTTGTATTAAATGCATTAAATAATTTGTTAAACAATTTTATAGATAGATAATGCTAATTTCTAGGAGGCAAATTTATATGAAATGGAAAATTGAACAATTTAATATTTTTATAATGGCTGCTTTTCTACTAAATTGACTAAAATGCAAGATTTAAATAAAATTATTATTAATTGCACATGCTTTTGATGAATTCAGCAGTAAAATGAGCTTGTTTCAGGTCTGTAAATTTGTTTGAAAAGTGTCCTAAAGTTTGTTGTAGTAGTCATAAACAATATATTGGCACTGTGGGCATGTTACTGTGACTGGTGACATCTTAAAAATATCAATTTTGCAAATAATAATAATAATAATTTTTCTATAAATTCTCATTGAATAGCAAACTTTAAACTAAATTTCATGAATTTCTAATATCATAACCACAGATAAGACCAGTTAACTGAGGCTAGGTTATCATTTGAACTTCTAATAATTTTAAATTTTTTATCCAAGTTTAATCATCTCAAGATATATTTTAGACATAAGGTGTCTACTCTAACAGTTATACTACAATTTTTACATAGGATTAAAATATGTTACTTTCAAGCAATCACCAATAGCATAAATGTTATGAATTGATGATTGCTCATTTTCTCCTATAATCTTTCTGCTTTCCTTGTCTACTTTTACTCCTATTTTTTCAAGATTCAGATTATCAGTCTGTGCTTTTCGTCCTATAAAAATATAAAAGTAATCATAAAATGTAAAATGTCTTTTTATTTTTGTTTTTATGAGTAAATATTTAAATTTGTCTACCAGTTGCAAAAAGAACTGTATCAAATGTATCTTTTCCTTCTTTTCCATCTTTATCTTGCCACAAAACTTCTAATTTTGAATTTTCAAGCTTGTTAATTTTTTTTATGTTATAATATTGAAAAATGTGTGTTCCTTTAGATTTCATATTATCAGCAACAAGTTGTGCCATTTCCTAATTAAGAATTAATTAAAAAACTTCTTTAAACAGAAAATTTTTATTTAATATTAAAAATGAATTATTGAAATAATTTTAAAGATGATAAAAAAATAAAAAATAATTCAGAAAAGAGAACAAGTCTTACCTGATCAAAACCTCTTAAGAAAATAGATCTCACAAGCAGTGTTGTATCGAAATTTAAGCCAGTAAGAAATCCTGCACATTCTAATGCCACATCTTGGTATAATTAAGTGCTTATTTAAATAATAATGGTACAGAGTGTTGCAATTTGTATATGTTTAAAAACACAAATTAAAATACTGCAATAAAAAATAAATACAGTATATGCTTAAGTATATGTACTTTTTGTTCTTGTTTCCTCCTTTTTGTTTAGGAGGAGTTTCCTGCCAAATGCAAAATATCATTGCCAGACCTGGTGGATATAGAAGAAAATAGAAAAAAATTATAAAATCAGGTATTATATTTCACTAATACTGTAAGCTCTCTCTCTCTTAAGATAGATTTAAAGGAATTTAATATTAGATTGTCTCACTTGAATAGATTGTTGAATGGAAATTTTGTTTATTTTATATTTTCATTATATTTGTTCATGTAGATATATATAGAGCAGTGGTTCTCAATTAGTTTTTCCTGTGTACCACTTTAAGAAACAGCTCAAACCCACATACCCCTTATAGCAGAAATTCATATTAATCCACACTAATATTATAAATTTGATGGTAATTCTGTCTGTCTGTCACCTTTTCATGTCTAAACCACTGAACAGGTTTTAATAAAATTTGGCACAGAGATAGCTTACATGTTGGAGATGGACATGGGCTACATTTTACTGCGAGAAAATATCTTACTTCCATGAGAAATTTTGATAAAATGCGGGCAAAGCTGTGGGTAGACAGCTAGTGATAAATAGAATAAGTTTTTTTTACATTTATTACCCTTAAAATACTATTCTAATAATAATGAAAATAACATAAGGTTATTTAATTTTAATGTGACAAATGTGCATGATTTTCTTTGCACAACTTTGAAAAATCTGGTTGCTTTTTGGCCAGCTTCAGTCTCAAGTCATCTTCGAGTTGAAGTCAGTGACGATGTTTAGTTTTCATGTTTGTTATGGCCAAAAATCCTCTCTCACAGAGGTATATTGTGCAGAATGGTAGTAAATATTTTATTGCCACTTCGTTGATATGATAATATTGTTAATTGTACAATTTTTGTTTCTTGCGTAAGAATTTCATTTAGGTATTGTCACAAATGCATTTTTTTGATGAAATTTTGAGAATATTTTTAGTTATAAATAAACAAATTTGTGCATTCAACATCATGTTGTAAATTGCCGAATTTTTGATGGTCCACCCATTATTTTTTTGATTGCTTCATCTCATGCATTTAAATTTTAAATCGACCGATTTTAGATTGCCACACTTACCCCTTCACGCAATTTCACATACCACTAATTGGGAACCATTGATATAGAGAAAAAGAGAAACCAAAACATGTTTTAGAAAAAGAACCAGTAGAACAGATACCAGATGACAATAATAATAATGCAACAATGACTTTTCCACAAAATAAAATGGGAAATGGAAAGATCTGAAATTGGATCTCGCACCTTTTGAAAATAGTGTTGTATGTTACTTGGCAATTGTTGTTTGTCTTCCATTGATTTCAGAGGTTAGCTTTGAATATGACATGAAAAATAAATTGATAATAGAACATTATCCAATAAGGAACATTTTAGAGTTAAAACCTTAGTTTTAATTTAAAAAGTAAAGATAAAGTAAAATTACAATAGAATTTTAACAGAGAGTGAGTCACAATAAAATGTGTGTTTGTAACACCTTTATTAGTATAATACCTCGTAGCGCAAAATGATAACCTGTGAAATTTAATAATGCATGAACATTCACATCTTAAAAGAACTCTAAAAACTTTCTTGAAATATTCCAAGAGGAACTGTCCAATAGATCACCTATCTACAGACAAGTTCAATTTCATTTATGAGAAGACTTGGAGCAAGAATCTAGAAGCAAATGTTCAGTCATGATCCGAACAACTTCCCTTCAATCCAGGATACTATGACCAACATCTATTCTGTAGTAAAAAATTGTACTTCATTCATCATTGAAATGTAAGAACAATGCCAACTCTGTGCCAATTCAAAAATGTAATTTCACTGTAAATTATATAATTTAATGTTTGCATTGAAATTTTTGTTAAATAGAATAATGATTAGAACTTTTGTTTTGCATGGTCAAGAAAAATAAGTTTTATTCTAAAGTTAGAGGGAAGAGAGAGTCAAACTAAACTTTTAAATTTTTCTGTTTGTGAAAAATGAAAAATCATATGTAACACCTATAATTTTTGGAAAAGGGAAAGCTATGTGAAAACCTAGGGCTAAATAGAAAAATTTTTAAATTTGACAAAACAGGAAACATTAGAACTCATCGTAGACTGCATTTCTTACTAATTAAACACACACAAGAAAACCTTTTAAATATGCAGCCATATTTATTACATTCTAACGTTTTCGGTCATATTCAATGACCTTTTTCAAGAATAAACGGAAAAAAGAAAAAATCAAACTCCTAACTCTAAAATTTGAATTAACGATACAAGCGTTTTGGAACGTTTTTAAACAGGAAACATTTTTGTTAGTAATCACAAGTCACAGACGAACTTTCTTTAGATTTGAAAGGAAGTTCCTGAGGAGAGATGTTGATTTAGATATCAGCTTCTTTCCTCAGCTGAGTTAAATAACCCCAAATGATTGTGTCAATCCTATTTATAGGATATTCATCTGACCAAATGTCCCAGAGCTAGAATTGGAAATGGAACTGTAAGAAGTTATTACTCAAACAGAAAGGAATTTCCTGCCAAATGCAGGATACTATTGCCAGTCCCTGGTGGATATAGAAAAAAAAATTATAAAATGAGGTATTATATTTGACTGTAACACTGTAATCTTTCTCTCTCTCAAGATACATAAAGAAATTGAATATTAAATTGTCTCACTCAAGTAGATTGTTGAATGGAAATTTTATTTTATATTCTCTTTATATTTGTTCATGTAGATATATTGTATAAATACAATTTATTTATTTAAATACAAAAACTATATTTTATTATTGTACTGTATTTTGATGGCCTAACTCCAATGTCAGTTCAAAACTCTCTCCTAGATTCATTCGCCACTCAGATAAAAAATCAGACTAATTTGAAATAATTCAATCACTATTGTGAGTTAGAATGCAATATAAAATATTTATTCTATCAATAACTGGTGTCAGGTTCCTGACATTAATAAGATTCTGACAATCTTTCAGGCAAAATATAATAAAACATTTCAATCCCGAGTCCCCAATCTCACATATAGTTCAGTTCCTCATAATTAAGTAAAATTATTAAAAATTTTCTAAGTCCACACCTCTTAAAATTCTAAAATAATAATTATCGAAACCTCCTAGGAAAATAGAACTAACAAACAATCTGCATCAAAATTTAATCCTTTTACTGAGACAAATGAGAACTTTTCATATCTGCTATTTTTGGTAATACTCATACTTGTTAACCTTGGTAGTGCCTAGCAACATGATAAAATGCCACCAGGCTTCACACAGCAAAAACCAAACCTACTTGTGAAAAGGTTAAGTCACTAAAACTGTTCACTGTTTAAAATAATAGTTTATTGCAAGATCTTTCTATATTTCTGCATTTGTTATCTCTATTATTAATAGTTATTTAAAATGCTCTTCAATATATATTCGATATGTTTGCGAGATATTTTTCAATCTATAGCAAATTCTTACTGCTGGATAAGAACATAATTTGTCTTCTGTTGATATCAAAAAATACAGTGTGTCTGAAAAGTATAGATAATCAACATTTTAGTACTTTTTCATAATTGTTAGGAATTTAAGAGAAATGAGAATGATTTCATTTGTAGATTTAAATTACTTTACTCTGATTTTTTGATAATTTTGAAATTAAAGATCATTATGTTAATTATTTTTACAACAAAAATATATATTTGGCTGTCCCAAAAGTATAGATAATAAAACAGAATTGTAAAATTTCAAGCATAAGAAACTTAAAATTATGAAAATAATTATAAATAATGTCAAGTAACACTTTAACTTCGTTGTTAAGTAATAATTTAATATTGAATCAAAACTTTTCAAAATGCCACATGGAAGAGAGTTTAGTATGGAAGGAATTGCAAGAATATGAAAATGAAAAGCAAAAGGCTGTTGTATCAAGGAAATTGCTGTTTTAATGAACAGAACTCCTGGAATTTATAAAATTTTGGGAAAATCATCACGAATACTTTATAAACGTCAATCAGGAAAACCTAAAATCACATCTCAAAGGGATGATAATTAAATTGTATGCCTTGCATCACAACAGGATAAATCAGTTCATCAAATTTTGTTTGAAAGAGAATTTAAAATATCAAAAAGCATTGTTTATCAAATAAGTTCAGCAGTTCCATGTATAAAATTTCTGCCATGATGAAAAAAAAAAACAACACAAATTGGCAAGAATGCAGTGGGCTAAAGATCACATGGTGTAGAATGGCCAATGGCTTTACCAATGGAAGTGTCAGTCTAGGTGTGGATGACTTTGGGTGATATTGTTTATGCTTAGTAAGTGTTCATGTTTTCCTTTGGAGTTACACAAGATCTGTCCAGTGTATAACTTCAAAAGAATAAGTGAGTACAGGGACAACATACACATTAGTAGCTTTAATAGTATGTTTTGTATTTAAATGTGTTTTAGTATTGCATTTAATCTGTTCTGGTATTCAAGTGTTAACCTTTCTTTTATCTGTGCATGTTCTGTAAGTTTGGAATCCAAAATATTTGTAAAACTCGCCCTCTTCCATGGACTCAATAATATCTCCACTTTTGAGTACAAAGTCTCCTTTTTCAATTGGAGTGTTTTGCATTTGTCTAGACCAGTGTTTTTCAACCTTCTTGAATACGTGACCCCTTTACAAGTTAAAAAATTCTGGCGACCCCCCATGGCCATATTAAAACTATGTCAGTGATTTTAAAAACTACTGTACGTATTTAATTTTCTTTCTGTAGAGATTTAAATATCGATAAAAAAACAATTGTATTGTAAAATAAACAGGCACAGCCTTCTCACTGAAATTGTAGTGTAATTTTTTTTATTGTAGTGTAGGACCTACAAACACTTGTCTTTTTCTTTTACCCTCAACCCCCTGTGTATGGCTTTGCGACCCCCCTGGGGGTCATGACCCACAGGTTGAAAAACACAGGTCTAGACCAAACTCCATTTGTATATCATTTGAGTGTGTGTTAGTAGCTTGTAAGAGATGATGCTGATTCTGTGTGGATGCATACAGTTTGATATCATCCATGTACTGTACATGTGGTGTGATAATGTGAACAGTGTTGTTTTGTTGTGTTTGATATTGTAGCCATACACAGCCAATTGCAGAGACAGCGTTTATGTTAAATGACATTTCACAACCCAACGACCTATAGATGTCAGCTGGCTGAACTGTGATTTAAAATATGTTGCAAACACGATGATTGTCTATTTCCGAACACGATCTAAACGAATCTGGTCAAAATATTGGCTCTTACTTTCTTTGCCATTACTCCCCTTTTAGGAGTCGTTCAGCCAATCAGATTATTCATATGACATCAGAAACATGGCAACTGTGTCAAACATGTAGGAATTTTTCAGAAGAAGAAAAGAACATCCTGGCTAGTGAAGAAAAGAACATCCTGGCCTTTTCAAAATCATTAACCCAGACGGCAGATCAGGTTTCTTCAAACAGAAGTTCCTGACGCATGCGCAATGTCGTTTTACAATGCGAAGAATAACGTGCATGCTGGTTCTAAATCAGTTACAGTTAGGGACTAGGGACTTGCATAGGAGTAACATAAGTAATCCTAAATTAAGAAAGAACAGGTAGAGATGACTTAGCTCTATTGGATATTGGAGACATGTACGATAGTACATGCGAAAAAAAAAAGGTTGACAGGTTGCATGCCACACGTCAGTGTAAACAGACTAACATGGCAGAATTGCAGATGAGTTTCAGAGAGTGTGAGTTCTTTTGTTGTTAAAATAGTGTAAATTTGTAAAAATATTTGCAAGAACTTTGTTTCATCGTAATTTCACAATTTATACGAAATTCCCGGGCAAAATTAATAGTTCACCCAGACAGTGAATTAATTCCCGGACTGTCCAGATGAAAATCATATGGGTGGTAACACTAATCCTGGTGAAAATTATTAAAAATTATCCTGTAGTCGAAGAGAAGGGATATGATAACTGTACTCTAGAAAAAAAAACCACATGGAAGATTCTAAACGAATTCTCCTTAACATTTCCCTGTAGAGCAGCTCATACAATAGTACAATTGAAAGGCAAGTATGAATGTAAAACATTCATTGAAGATTATTTTTTTAGTTAATATTTTTAACATTAGTGTTAAAAATATTAACTAAAAAATGTTAGTTAATATTTTTAACATTAATAATATCAAAGTAGAATAATAATTCAAAATTATAATAAAAATAATGTAGAAAGTTATGATTAATATTTACCTAAATTAAATTTATTACAATGAAAATTACTTTGTGAAATCTATATTTAAGTGAAAGAGTAAGGGAAAAAAAGCTGCAGTTTAATTATAATTTCAATTGGGAAAAGATTTAAATTTTACAATTACATGTCCAAATTGTAGAACTCTATTCTGAATCAAGATTTCATATCCTGCTAATCCCTACTTCTATTTATTAGATTAACAGATTATATGAATATACAAATATTAAAACAGCATATTTAATTTGAGAAAAGTGTATTAGAAAAGTATATCTTATGATCTATTTTATAGGTTGCTGGAAGCAATTAAAACTAGATGCCAAAAAAGAGGCAGATAATAACCAATGAGCTGCACATAGGACCGTTATCGTCGAATCCCTCTACATAAGTAGTTTTATCTGTTTTGGATTACAGTATTGAACCATTGTCCAATCCACATAAACCACCATCACCACTTATCATTACATATGAAAATAAAATACTGAATTACTTACATCTATAAATGAATACTCTAATTCAGGATTATTTTCACCTGTAGTGATAAGTGATGCCAAGGAAAATATGGAAGTGGCAGATGATCCACCACCATCCAAAAGACAATGGTAAATAATATTCAGATAAAATGATACTAAATATTAATAATTACTTTCTAAAACATAATTATTCATACTATATTTATAGCATTAACTCTAGAAAAATCCCAAATCCAGCTAATAGAGGATGGCATAAAAACAGAGAAAATGAAACAAGATACAGAAAGGAAAAGGCTAGAAGCAGAACAACATAGGATAGAGGTATTCAGGTTTAAAAAGTTGAAACTTCTGCAAGAACTAAAATTATCACATAATAAATAAATTTATTTATTATAAATATTAAAACGGCCCTTTTCTAGGCCAACAACTTTAGTTTAGTGGTCATATCGTATTAATAAACAATTAGATGATGGAAGAATATCAAAGAAAAAATGTATGAAAATAAAGATTATAATTTTTAGTGTAAAGTGAAATCTGTAAATTTTTTCAATAAGTTGTATTGCATAAAAGAAAGACAAAAGTGAAGCATAATTCATATGTAAAATATATATATATATATATGCTTTTTTATCAAATAGCTATTTAGCTATTGTTTGTGATTACAGAATCATGTTTAACATNTACATGCAACTCCTCTCACACTTCAGAAGGCTGGCTTCTTATACGACTGCCTGTTTTGCATATTTCAGGACACATAACCATGATTGATAGTAACGTAACATATTTGCATACTTCCACCTACCTCTGCAGTGAATTGCAGCCTCTCAAATGCCGATTGCTTTCCAGACATGAACATTTTCTGCTCTGTGCTTAACTTTTGGCAGTGAGTGTAATATGTTAAGTCCAAAATGTAAGTTTTGTTAAGTCCAAAATGTAAGTTTTAAACAAATTTTGAAATTTGTAACTAAAATGAAGACATTAATTATATTTCTAGCTCAGCTTTCTATGAATAAATTCTATAATGACTTTAAAACTGTTTTTAACCACATCAAATACATAAAATGTCAACATAAATCTGATAATTTTAGAGTAAAATAACCAAATATTTGGTAGAACAAACATTAAATTAAATATATTTCCAAAAGAAATTTGAATTGAGAAATCATAATTTAAATCTTTTTGAGGAAACATGGATGAATAAAACAGTTGTATGAATGTTTATTTAATTTGTTACATAGGTTATGTTAAGTAATATTTTTATTTAAAATGAATAAAAAGAGAATTATTTTATCTGTGATAGGTTCACTCTTTATCAAAATTGTATGGTCCTGAAAGGACCTTTTGTCATAGTCCTAAAATACTGTTTCATTCAACTAAAATGTTGCAATTCAATAATCTTTGAAGAGCAGATCCTGAAATTGATCACTTATTCACTGTTGATGTTTCTTCCTCTCTTTCTTCATTTAAATGATCAATAATAAACTCCTCCTCTTTAAAATCAATGGCGCAATTATGCAAAATGCAAAATTGCTGTGGCTATTATTATATTAAGTGTGTTGTCTAATTTAGTTCTCAGACAACTTCCAATGCATGGAAATCATCTTTTTCAGACCCCAAATAATCTCTCGATGATATTTCTTGCTCATGAATGAGCTTTATTACACCATCTTTTGGCATGATTCTGTGGATGTAGAAATAGGTCATTAAATATGGCAAACAAGGATAGCCACTGTCACCAACCAGATATCCATTACAATAACCTTAGTAAAGTTTTTCTAAAAATACTGCTATTAGTAAAAGTTTTACTTTCATGTTTTGAATCTGGCCATCGAGTAACAATATTTCTAATTTTCATTTAATAAAAAAATTATTAAAATAAACATATGTTTATTAAAAAACCAGTAAAATTAAATTCAATTTAAGGATACAACTGGCACCAATTATTAACCTGAAAAATATAATCAAACATATTAATATTTAATATTACATTTTCTACAGATAAAATTTTAAATAGTAATTATATTTATTATTATTCTAATTATTATAATAACTTAAATATATCTTCATTGGTATAGTAGTTCAGATATAACATCAAATATTAATAGATGTTTTGGGCTATTTTAAATTATGAAGTAATTTATACAGGATGTATTAGAATGATGTTTTAAAACTTTGGGGGATTGTAGAGGATTTTGAACATTTTGATATAAGGAACATATAGCTGGAAATTTGAACTAAAGTGTCTACAGCGGTAGGAAGTGCTTGACTGCCCTTCACTTTGGAAGCTACCCTTCTGTCCATTGACATCATGTTATTGCTGCTGATGAAAGACAGTAAACACACAACTGCAGTGGTCTAACTGAGCCTGTATACAGGACGTTGTGTACTTAGTGCTTGTCATCTTTCAGAGGGGAGTGTGGCATCTTAGAGAGTCAGACAAAACATGGTTTGTCGTTGCACATTATGTAACAAAGTTGGTGGTTGTCACATTGACACATTTACTCTAAAGTAGTGCAGCCACTGATTCTATGTACAGTACTCTACTGTTTTGTCAATAAAGCTTGTCATAAATACTGTATTCTGCTGTTTCATTCAGCACACCAACTGCATAGAACGTGCAAAGTGCTATAGAAACTTTATATCACATTTCCGACTATAGGTTCCTTATATCAAAACGTTCAAAATTTCATCCTCTACAATCCCCCAAATTTTTAAAACGTCATTCTGATACACTCTGTATATTATTCAATTTGAAGAGGTATGTATGATGATAAATTAATCAAGAGCACTTAAATATGACAAAAATAAAGAACTAAAATTTATCTTTCATTAAAATCTTCAAGTTTTAATCAATTCAGCATCACTATAGTTCCTACATCACTTAGTTTTTAATTAAGAACAGCTTTTTCCTTTAAACTTTTTAGAATAATTTTCAAATTTTTTAATTAAATCTTTTCAAAAAATAGTATTGCTGTATATCCAAATACATATATATATAATTTTTTTATTTCTGTATTAATTAAATGTCCATTTTTCTTCTTTGACTATAGACAAAATATTAATAAATTTATTGTAAATACTACTAATATTTTTCAAAAACTATTTCAGTATCAATCCATTCAATATTGTTTTATTTCTTTGTTAAAAACATATTCAAATAATATTAGTCTTTTATAGATAAATATGTGTATACAAATATGAAGATATTAAAACAAAGAAAAAAGAGCGCAAGAGAGAAAAATAGAATTATAAAAAATACATTTTTAATAAAAAAATAAACGTCCTTTATATTCTTCAAAAGTTAAGTTTTGAAGAATATAAAGAACTATCACTGTTAACTTCATAAAAAGAATACTAATAAATGTAAAAAAAAGAGGGTATTTATTTAACATAAAAATAAAACAAACTTCTTAAGCAAAGAAAGCTGAATGACTGAGTCATCATCTTGTGACTCTCTCTCTTGGTATTTTAACTTAAAAGCAACATATTCGTGATTACAGAAGTCCTAGAGTAGAAACTCAATAAACTTTTTTTGAGATTTCCTTCATCTTTGGATTGTTTTCATATGAACTGAGCAAATTTAAAAGTTGAAATGATAAAATAATTCATCTAATTCAAATTGCTTTTCAAAACAAAGGTAGCTCCTTTATTTTTTGTTATTTATCTGTACTTATAATGCCTTAATTACAACAATCATTTTCTCCTATTATTAATTTTAAGTACCAAGACTATTACTGCATCATCATTAACTATACTCATATGTGAAATATGTAATTAAAAAAATTTTTTTTTAATATTTAAATCAAAGATTTTGATTGTTCATTTTCTTATAATGAAATGGATACAGAATTTATTTGGGATTTGTTCCATTGTAAAAAATTGACAGTTGATAAACAATAGATGGAATGAGGGCCTATTCAGCAAAGATGTCAATCTGCCACTCTAGAAATCAGGACCTCAAAAATTGTCATGAATGGTTTGATTTCAAATGTCATGCTTCATCCCTCAACATCTAGTACTTCACTTGGCTCAATGATGGAAAGAATTTATAAATAAAATAAAAGAAAAAATAGATAATACAAGAAAATGATATCTATTTCATAATTCTACCACAACAGTTATATACAGTAGTGTCACATATATTTCTTAAGATTAATAACTTTTATAAGTGGTAAGTTAAGACATTGCTAAAAATCATATATTTATTTATTTAAATATTAAAATTAAGCTTACGTTTTACCAGGAGGTTTTTTTAATAAGAATATATCATCACTTGTAATTCCATATTCTTTAGCACTTTTAATGTCTGGATAATTTGGTCTTCCTCCAACCGCTATAACAAAGTTATGGGCAGTTAACTTTTTCTATGGAAAAAATTACAATATTTAATGTAAAATTTTATTACTTTATTTATTTTACATATGTAACTAGCCTAAGTAGTCAGCATTTCCAAAGAATTGTAATGAAGATGCTGAAATTAGCTAAAATTTTGTTCAGTCAGTTAGATAATGAGTGGACTGTAATGTACAATGAATATAGTTATATCTAGTGCTAACAGAAAATCTTATTGGATGGTTGTAACACTTAGCATGAATAATCTCCCATAGAAGTTTCAAGAATATACACATATACAATATAACAAAACCCANTACCGTGTTTCCCCGAAAATAAGACAGTGTCTTATATTAATTTTTGCTCTGAAAAATGCGCTAGGTCTTATTTTCAGGGAATGTCTTATTTTTTCCTGGAAGAAGAATTCACATTTATTATTGAACAAAAAAATTCCCAAGTTGAACTTAGACAAGAGTGACGTATATCCGGTGTGTCGAACTGTCACCTTTTTATAGCGTCAACATCGGACTCGATGACCAACCGTTCTTACTGAACCGTAGCACTATGAAAATGTAATGTGGCGTGATTCCCGGCCGACCAATTAGCCATCACCAGCCGTAACGTTATGCAAATCTGTGATTCCTAAGCCATAGTCTTATGCAAATCATGCCGTGTGGCGTAATTGTCTGCTGACCAATCTGTAGCTGTACTTTCAAAAAGCTAACGGCCACTTTCAAGCATCTGTCAATGACTGTTACGAGTAAAAAAAACTTTGCTAGGTCTTACTTTCAGGGGGAGGTCTTATATTTCGCAATTCAGCAAAACCAGTGCTAAGTCTTATTTTCTGCAGATGTCTTATTTTCGGGGAAACACAGTAGTTATATCTAGTGCTAACAGAAAATCTTATTGGATGGTTGTAACACTTAGCATGAATAATCTTCCATAGAAGTTTCAAGAATATACACATATACAATATAACAAAACCCAAATTGTTAGCCAAACTTCAGCTTAAAAAGGCAGATTATTTTTCTGGCTAAGTATCAGGACTGTCAGCTCTAAGCAGAAGTTTGAATTATGTTTTGATTCAATCTTTCTTACTTAAAGTTTCTAAATTGCTTACTTAAATTCTGAATTAAATTTCTAATTATTAATTTAATCTTAACTATAGAAAACAGAATTTTTCAAAAAAAAAATTGAACCAGACAGTTTTTAAAGTTTTATAAATTTGTTCTTAAAACCTCTGATGACCAATGAGAATGATTTGTAAATGAAACCAAAGCTCTACTTCCAATATGGTATAGAAAATATAGTTTGTCTTATTTTTACTTATTCATATGATATGAAGAAAATTATACATAAGGTAGTTCAATTAAAAGTAAATGAAATAGCATATTTACTCATTAGAAGAAATACTTAAATCAGTTAATGTTAGTTACAACTATCAGCAACACTGATTCTTTTTCTGTGCTATTAGGTGCTGATTTCTGAAGACATAAAATGTCGAAAAAATGGAACTGTACTGATGTTATTAATTTTTTAGTCATGAACAATATCCACTATTATGGAATATAAAACATCTTGATTATGTAAACGTTAAAGTAAAAGAGGATATGTAGACATCATCTACTCAGTTTGTTATTCTTGCACACAAGAACGAGTTTCTTAGTCAGACAATAAACTTGAGAGTCAGTAGCAACATAAGTACCTCAATCTTCAGCTTTACTCACTCAAATACATCATCAAGCAATTATACTAAATAAATTACTTACATTGATTGAATACTCAAATTTAATATTTGTGAGTGGCCACTAAACTCACCTAAAATAATTGAGCCGTTCAAATGTTATTCATTTTATTTAATATGTAATGAGTTTTGTTTAAGAACAATTTGTTTATTAAATTTTAAAAAAAATTGATAATATATAAAATAATTTCTTGATTATAAATTTCTCTATATGTTTAGAATATCATTAATTCAAACTTTGTATTAAATTAAATGTAAGTTTTTAAGCTTAGTTTTAAGCCATGGCAATAAGTAAGAAAATAATTTGTTCTTGTCATTAATTTTAAAAAATTCTTTACGATTAAGAGATTAATTTTTTGACATTAAATAATAGTTAAGTTTAATAATAGCATTTAATTAAAATACATTACATTTATCTTATCTCCAACAGCAGTTATAGTGTGTTCATCTACAAAAGATCCTTTAGCGTTAATATAATCAACATTTCTGTAAAAATAATATGTACGAAAATACTGTAGAATGAAGAATTAAAAAGTAAAAATATTGTAATTAATTATTATAATAAGAAAAATAATTATATTTAAATTTATAAATACCACTAAATTAAAATAAACTTGTATTGATCAAGATAAGTAAAGAAATGAGTGACCTAAAGAATCTAATAAGAATTTTACAAAGAAATCCTAAGAAAGAAAGTAAAAGGAAGATCATAGAATGATAATTCGTATAAGCAAGNCCGAAAGTCAATCATCCGAAAGAATTCCAGTCGGCAAATTTAAATTTTCGCCAGTGCTGTGGCGCTTCAATCTTTGGCTACGTCTTGGGCTACTCAAATATTTTACGTTTTTGATACTAAATTAACATCTGAAGTATAATTTTTTATTATTTTTATATTTTTCAACATATTTATTTTGTTTGTACAAAATAAAAATAATTTTTAACGATACAATAGTCTTTGTTAGGCTTAACATTGACGAAAGTTCACGCAAAGCGACACGCAACGGAGAAAAATTTCGACATTGGATATGTTAAACCACTGTTTTTCAACCTTTTTGAATACGTGATCCCTTTACAAGTTAAAAAATTCTGGAGACCCCCTAGGGCCATATTAAAACTATATCAGTGATTTAAAAATTATGTATTTAATTTTCTTTCTGTTGAGAGAAATTATTGTTGACTAAAATGGAAATTTAAGAAGAATCGTCAATAACTTACAACACGTATAGTATGTTACTTCCTTCTTATAATAACAATGGGTTCACAGTGCTGTTGACCTCTTTTGTTTTTTTTTTTTACTTATCACTTCTTTTTCCAGGTCACCTCGACACTTTTTCGGCTATCATTTTCTAGGGTGGGCTGTACCCCCCATGCCCCTACCGGGCGACACCCATCATTCCGACCTAAATGTCAATCAAAACACCAACTGTACTGCATGATAAACAGGTACAGCCTTCTCGCTGAAATTGTAGTTTTTTTTAATGTAGTGTAGGACCTACAAACACTTGTCTTTTTCTTTTACCCGCGACCCCATGTAAGGCTTCGCAATCCCCAGAGGGATTGCGACCCACAGGTTGAAAAACACTGCGTTAAACTATTTTTTCGTACGTAAATCAGTTATCCGGACAACCCCAGTCCCCAATTGATTCGGAAAATCGACGCTCTACTGTAAATGTAAATGAAATAGCATATTTACTCATTAGAAGAAATACTTAAATCAGTTAATGTTAGTTACAACTATCAGCAACACTGATTCTTTTTCTGTGCTATTAGGTGCTGATTTCTGAAGACATAAAATGTCAAGAAAATGGAACTGTACTGATGTTATTAATTTTTTAGTCATGAACAATATCCACTATTATGGAATATAAAACATCTTGATTATGTAAACGCTAAAGTAAAAGAGGATATGTAGACATCATCTACTCACTTTGTTACTCTTGCACACAAGAACGAGTTTCTTAGTCAGACAATAAACTTGAGAGTCAGTAGCAACATAAGTAGCTCAGTCTTCAACTTTACTCACTCAAATACATCATCAAGCAATTATACTAAATAAATTACTTACATTGATTGAATACTCAAATTTAATATTTGTGAGTGGCCACTAAACTCACCTAAAATAATTGAGCCGTTCAAATGTTATTCATTTTATTTAATATGTAATGAGTTTTGTTTAAGAACAATTTGTTTATTAAATTTTAAAAAAAATTGATAATATATAAAATAATTTCTTGATTATAAATTTCTCTATATGTTTAGAATATCATTAATTCAAACTTTGTATTAAATTAAATGTAAGTTTTTAAGCTTAGTTTTAAGCCATGGCAATAAGTAAGAAAATAATTTGTTCTTGTCATTAATTTTAAAAAATTCTTTACGATTAAGAGATTAATTTTTTGACATTAAATAATAGTTAAGTTTAATAATAGCATTTAATTAAAATACATTACATTTATCTTATCTCCCACAGCAGTTATAGTATGTTCATCTACAAAAGATCCTTTAGCGTTAATATAATCAACATTTCTGTAAAAATAATATGTATGAAAATACTGTAGAATGAAGAATTAAAAAGTAAAAATATTGTAATTAATTAACATAATAAGAAAAATAATTATATATAAATTTATAAATACCACTAAATTAAAATAAATTTGTATTGATCAAGATAAGTAAAGAAATGAGTGACCTAAAGAATCTAATAAGAATTTTACAAAGAAATCCTAAGAAAGAAAGTAAAAGGAAGATCATAGAATGATAATTCGTATAAGCAAGAGATTTAAGGTCGGGAATTGAGAGCAGGCAAACAACATATAGATAGGAAAGAGTGGCAGAAAGTTTACACAGGGAATGTTGGGCAAGACAGAATACTGAAGCAAGATGATGTATATCCTGCATTGAATTTAGTAAGTGATGTAACTTAGTAATAAATATTGCAACTAAATCTGCACATCAGGAGATGATAATGATAAAATTGCTGTTGTTGTTCAGTGCCTATTGAGGCAAAAATGTGTTTACATTAACATGTAATTTTTGGCTATTAATCTATTTTTAAAAACACCCACATGTAAGTAATACAAAGTTTCTTAATTTTTTTGATTCCTTCTACTCAGCAGAAAATTCTTTCAGCTTCACTTGACTACACAAAATCTTTTATTAAATACCATTAATTACTAAGGAGTTTAAACAAGACTTCAAAATGACATCTTGGGACAAAATGAAGTTAGTTCATTATGTTTCTGTTGATCCTGAATGCCTTTACTACAGATATTTGTACTTTGTTTCAATGGAAGATTTGATATGCTGAGTACTATGTCACCAATGAGCACATTGCTCATGTGCTGGTGAAGATCAGGATGATGAGGTTTACCATATTTGCTCATTATATCTTTGAGAAAAATAAATTTCTGTAGCATAAAAATGTAGCAATAAATCTTAAATATTGCTTAATTGCTAGTTTGTGGTTGTTTAATCTTTTTAATCTTTCTGTATATCAAAAACCCCTTCAATCCCTACTTCTTACATTTAAATGGACTCTCATTACATTTTTGGATTCCTCATTGTAATTAATGAAAAATGACAAAGTTTTATTAAAACTGGCCCATTAAATTTTGAGAACCAACTCAACTATAGTGAAACCCATAGAAGATGTGCTATCACATCTTCTATGGGCTTAAAATGGGGAATAAAATGCTAAATGTTATCATATGTCATACTGGCCTGTGAAAATTGGTATGACATTATTAAAGTGGCTGACAGCATGTAACTAGATTATATCTTGGTACTCCTGTACGAGTGTTCAAATTGTGTTACTTTGTGTTTCTGTATTGCCTATTGAAGAAGTGATTTGAAAAATATCATTTGAAATGCATATAGTGTAAGTAAATCTCTTTAGTGTAATAATAAAGACCAATGAAAAGATCAGAGTGATTGTAGTTTTTAAAAGTACATTCCCTTTAGAAGGTTGTAAAATTATATATGTATTTTTAAATATATTTTAACTGACCTCCCACAATACACAACTAAATTACTTAACCAAAAGTTATTAAAATAATTCCATAATTAAGAAACTAACAAATCAATGAAACAGTGAATGTAAACAAAATTATTGTATACAAAATATAATTAATATAAGTAATCATATATATAGATATATATTTTAATAATAATTAACAGTACTAACTTTTCTTTCAGCTGAACTCTATGCCCCCAATTTAATGATTTAATGTAGCTATTCACATTTTGTTGCAGAATTTCCCAATTGTGCTCAACTATTTCTGACACATTCCAGCCATAACTTCTTGAATGTTTTATCATTTCTCCAAGCAACGAACCATGATGAAATAATTTTTTAGGGATACATCCAACATTGACGCATGTTCCACCTAATCCCCATTTACTTCCTAGTTAAAAAATAATAAATAATTTTATACATTTTCTCAGAAATAAATTATAATCAATATTAAAATTATTTAGAATTTCTTAGTATTTTTTAAACTAGACACCAATAGCACTTAACATCAAGAAAGAACGTAACTAAAAGAAGAAATCTGACCTTCGATGGTAAACAGATTTATATTGAAAAAAGTTTTTTAAACTATGCAAAAACTTTTGAAAACTTTCATTTTTGTCATCTTCAGACACAAACATTCAAATATTGAATGATACTTTGTTCTCAGCTATTTGACTTTTGTAACACAAATAGAATTCATTGATTTAAATACAAATCAGATAGCCTCAAAATATAAAATTTGCATTCAAATACAATATGACTTAACAAAATAACTAAAACTAACTAAAAAACATTTAAAGAAAATTTAAATTAAGTACACATTTATATCATTTTTATATGTGATACATAAGATGCTATCCAAGATATTAGAAAATGTACTATCAGCTGGCTGAATTAATACTGATAACATTATCATAAAATCTTAACAATTTCTAAATTATAGTGAGTTAATTATTAGCTTTTTTAAATACTTTTTGCCCTGCAGATTCTAGAGAGCCTTTTCAAAGATCTTGGATTCACCAAGACCTATAATAGAAACATCTGGGTGGTAAGGGACAAACACTACATATCTGTAAAAGATTCCTGAGGTCTCTGAATCAACTTAAACCTGGAGTACCAGAGTAAAGGTTATGTTTTTGTTGTCTTAGATATCCAGCTGTCAACTTTTAAATTATTTAATTGTTAAATTTATTTTTTGATATTGATGCGTAAGTTATCATCTGTTCATTAATCAGATTTAGAAAAATCTAGAAGCAATGGTTTAGAAATCAAATTAGAAGTATTAATGTTGGCTAACATACAAATATGAACACTAAATTAAACTCCTTCCAGTTACATACATATTCATTTAAAATTTTTCATAAAATAATCAATGACAACCAATGCATTTACATATTGTAAGGTCTATATTACCTGAAACTTGATATTAAAGTATGAGGGCTGTTCAAAAAGTATCTGACCTTTGGTCGGCAAAAATACATTTATTGATTTTGAGGTACAAAACCTTAATCCCCTTCAAAGTAGTCTCCTTGGTAATATATACACTTCTCCCAGCGTTCCTGCCATTGCTGGAAACACTGCTGGAATGCATCTTTTGGAATGGCCATCAGCCGGTCCGTCGCATTCCGCACAATGTCTTCTCTCGACTAAAATTGGGTTCCTTTTAGCGGCATTTTCAGCTTGGGAAATAGCCAAAGGTCACACGGAGCCATGTGGGGCGAGTACGGAGTGTTGTGTTTGGCAATGAAAGCCCGAATCAGATGCGCAGAATGGGCGGATGCGTTATCACAATGGAGCTGCCAAGTTTTGATCGACCACAGATCCGGTCATTTGCGTCGCACAGCATCGGAAAGATGACAAAGGATCTCCTGGTAGTACTCCTTTGTGATGGTTTGGCCTTGTGGTGTGTACTCACAATAAACCACCCCACAAGAGTCGAAAAAACTGTCAACATGACCTTGATATTGCTGCGGACCTGACGCGCTTTTTTTGGCCTCGAGGATCGTCCCCGAAAGCCTGTTGAATCTTGCGAATGATTTACGCTTGGGTATCGCCAAGGTTTTTGGCAAAATTTGATGTAATATCGCTGCTCACGTTGTTCAGTCATTTTCCAACTTAGTGGAATCCGATGAGAGCTCACTACATGTCCTCACTCATAGGCTGACTGCCAACGACTGACGCTTCATGCAGGCGGGAAAAAATTCAGGGCTGTGTATGACTGTCCCCTCCACAACTCCACCAAAAGAGGCCTCCCGCGCATCATTGGTTTATGTGGAAAAAATAAAAGTCCTATACTTTTTGAACAGACCTCGTATATGATTCTAACCAGTACTAGACCAAAACAAATGCATATTTTTGTACCTAACTCTCTAAAAGTAAACACATGGCCCTAGACAAAAAGCTAGATTGTGTATGTCTACCACCTACATTGAGCCCACATTGAGAACATGACTAGTTACTGTATTTATCATCACATCAAGCGAGGATTCATTTACAATTCCCAGATCTTCAACTGGCAATCAATTCATTGTAATTTATATATTCCAACATGGTATTCCTAGTTCCTAATAATAAATATTAAAATATATTTATATACTAATCAAACATTAATATGCTGTATGTATGGAAGAACTCCAATTAAAAATATTTGTATAATATTAAATATAACTGGCAAATTATCATATATTAGGGAAAAACGACAGTTTGAATTTCATGCAACATTGTTATTTTTTAGATTTATCAAATTATTATCAATTACCGTTCAGTTTGTTTTATGAACTTTGATAAATTATGTTAAAACAAAATTTAGCATTTACCTTGAGGAGTTGGCTTCACATAATCTAGAACTGCTACCTTCTTTCCTAATTCTCCAGCTATAAAAAAATGATATGAAATTTACAATTCTTTAATAGTAATTGTTACATGTATTAATAAAACAAAAAACTGTATTGCATATTAAATAATTACTACAAAAATTGTGTCTGTTGAAATATTATCATCATATTTTTATAATTTTTAAATAAAAATATTTTAAAATCTTTATTTGAATCTGTCAAATGTAATAATTGCTCTTAATTAAAAATATAAGTAATGGCATGTCAAAATCTAATAACTAAAATAGTCTATAAAATCAAATTATCTTCATATTAGAAAACTTGCAACAGAATGCATTGAATGAATTCATACAAACATTAGCCTTAATTTAACACCAGCACAAATTAATCAACTTTGACAAACATTTTGATATCCTGATAGATCTGTTTCAGGTCTATATAGCTTACATTCTATTTCAAAATGTAAATGTTACAATAGTTAAATTTAGGAATAAATTTGAAATTCAAAGATTGTTCTATGTTTTTACATCTAGAATTATCTTTGAATTTCAAATTTATAGCTAAATTTAAATATTGTAACATTCCAAAATAGAATGTAAGCTATATAGACCTGAAGCAGATCTATCAATACATTGAAAATGTTTGCATTGAATTAATTTGTGCTGATGTTAAATTAAGTTTAATATTTGTATGTGTATATGAATAATTCATCCAACTTTTGTGAATGAATGAAATGTACAATAAATGAAAAATGCTAGGCCATTATAATTACTCCTATTCAACAAGCAATTATTTATTGTGACATCATCACCTTGCTGGGCTGTAATTTTAAATCACATTTTTAATTTATTTAATTTAAAATATATGCTCTCTACCTCAAATTAGTAGTGGCTTGCCACTATACATCATACTTTTCCTTTAACAATAAAGTAATGATAGTCATCTAACTAACATCTTTCTGAAAATAATTTTTGAATTGAAATAACATGACTTCTGGTTTGGATTGGAAGTTCATATAGTTAATAGGGGCCACCTACACTAAGGTTTCCATATCTGGTCGCGTCTTTCATTTAACTCCATTCTCAAGATTTAGGAAAGACGAACATCTGGACGACAGTGGGAATTTATAGGTCTACAATTTTTTCAAATTGCAGCCTAATAACGTCTAAAGAGATATTTAGCAGTTCAAATGTAACCAAACTTAGTATGGTGACATTTCAAAGCAAGCAAAAGACATTTCTATAAAAAAAATTAGTTTCACTCACCATGAAAATGACACCATACTAGATGTGGTTGCAATTGGACTGCTAGATTTTTCTGTAGTGTTGAATGGGAGTATTTTAATTACAATCACTAAATACATTAAAAATAATAGAAAGAATCATAAATATCACAAAGTTAATTATGTTTCAGTTTAAGACATCACAATTAATAATGGAAGCAAATACAGTTACATTTACAAAAAGTAAAATATTATGAATCTGTGAAACAAATAATTTGGTGTAATAATTAAAAGTGTTTTTTACATTCTTCATAATTTCAATTAGCTATTAAAATTCTCAATTAAATATTTTTCTTAGTTTGGAAAATAGTTGAAAATTGTATAATTAAAACAGAAAATTGTTAATTTTTAATATTTGAGTTGATGGTCATCAAGAATTGTAACAGCTTAGTAAAATTATAAATAATGTAAAAAAAAATATATTTTTGAATTATAATATTAAATAATTTGTTGTGAAGATTCATATTATTCCATTTTATCAAAAGGAAATGTTTTTATTAGCAGTGATAATCTATTCAATCCAAACATAAGTAGGTATTTTCAATATTTATATTAAAAATTATACTGTAAAGTATAAATGAGTTAATTCATTATATTCTGCTGCAATTTTTTCATATTACAGTACAAGGAAACAATTTTATTTTATATAATATAAAATCTATATTCATTATCTATGATTTTATGTTAAAGCTGTAGCAATGATTTCAGTCCAGATATATAGTTTTATATATAGAAATTCTGAAAATAGATTTTTGAGGCAACATTATAACATCATAATATATATATTTATAAGAATAAATTAAGTTTTTATGGTATGCCTACAATAAAATTACCTTCTTTAGCACAAGCTAATCCACCAGAACCTCCACCAATTACAATAAGATCATAATCATAATTTGCACCTAAATAGAAGAAAGTTAAATATTGGTCAATATTAGGAAATTAATTGTAAAATGTTAGTTGTTTTAACTATATTCAAAAGAATTTATTTATCTAATACAGTGATTCCCAACCTTTTTCCACTTGCATATCCCTTGGCAGCTCATTTTCCTAAGTTTTATTTCCCATTTCAGCTAAGTTTTATTTTGTGTTTGTTAAACAGTGGTTCTTTGGTCAATTACACAGCACGTACAATTACATCTAAAAAGATCTTTTTTTTAAATGGAAAATGTTGGAGGAAGGACACAGATAAATATAATATAAAATATTTATATTTTANATATAAAATATAAAAGATATTTTTATTTAAAACTAAGCATCGAACGCCATGACATTACCAAAGGCCTCAATGCAAAATCTGAATATTCTTTTAGCACAGTGTTTCTCAATGGAGGTGATATCGCCCCCATATGAGCATTTTTCCATGTTGAGAGGGTGATTAGTAACAATTTATATTTTGGAGGGCAAAAAACAATTTTCTAGGCGATATAGTAAAACATTATATTAAGAATAATTAGATATTTTATTCGTTATATTGTACAATAATTAAACAAATAACATTACACTAGTCACTAGTCTATTCAATGCAGTACGAATTTGGTGTTAACCTTGGCCCTCGACATCAGAATTTTGAAGTGAAGGGGGCGATACTACATAACGATTTTACTGAAGGGGGCGACGATTCGTTAGAGGTTGAGAAACACTGTTTTAGTACATACACTATTACTAATTTCTTTTCGCACACCCCTAATTCACTAAGTGCATACTCCTGGTTGGGAATCACTGATCTAATACAAAACATTGTAAATAAATTTTACCATAATTGTTTATGCACCATATTTACTAAAATATAAGATGAAATTGAATCTAAGATGTACCTTAATTTCTACATGATCACCCATAGATTTTTTTTTATTTCGAAAAAATAAACAACTCAAGTTGTACACATTAGCCCAGGAGTTATAGTTAATTTGAACATTTAAGATTATACAAATAACAAGTCCTTTTTAATTCCAGCTTAAATGCGATTATATAACAGGAACGCTGTCGTTAGGAATTTGGTTTTAATGTTTGTAGACATCGTAGCCTACAAAAAAAGGGTCGACGTCGAGATAATTTTTAATTGTGAATTTTTTAATAGTATTTGTCTGTTTTAGAAGTTTTACTTCACATTGCCTATTGTTTGTGGTTCCTGGATTGGAATTAAAAAGGATGTGCATAAGAACAAAAAGGACTCGTTGTTTGTATAGTCTTAAATTTTCAAAAAAAACAACTCAAGACAAATAGAACTGATTCTGTTGACATACAATTTGTTCCATATTTACTGCACAGTAAAGTAACTTATACATTACTGTCTTCCATATCATAATTGTAAATCTCTTCACTTTCTGTGTTAGGCTGTTGTGAATCAACATTAGATTTGATGCACACATCTTTCCACATACAATGTTTGTCAGTGTCATTTGAACAAGTTCTTCAAAAAATACATTTCTTGAAAGAGTGCTGCACAACTTTTCTATAATTTTTATCCAAGTAGGTATGATGTTACCATAATAGACTAATGAGACTAAGCTAAGATGATCTTTAAATATTTACTGTTATGAATATTGATCTAATAAAATTCATTACAATGATACAATGAAATTAGTGACAGAGAAATAAGATACATAGCACTAGAGACCACTAATATGACATATTACATAGAATCAATACAGGATGCAGTCTATTTTCAGAGATATTAAAATTTGAAGAATATATTAGTTTCTTTTTAGATTAAATTTGGATAACTTAAAGCTAGTATATTTTAAATTTCAGAAATGAAGTTTGACAAGAAATAGTAACATATTGTCAGCCAATTTGAAGAATGCATACAATTAAGGAAATCTGCAAAATGCATGTTACATAAACCTCTGGGGTATGGAAAAAACTGTTATATGTCTTACAGTTTTAGTAACATTTATAGTGGAAGTTGTTTAGCTAAGTTTTCACAATGTCTAAGTATGGAATATACACAAGTTTAGCTTAAAAATTTAAAATGAAAAAGAAAGTAAAGCAAAAAATGTGATATTACCAAAACTACAGAATACTGGGGAACACTAAACTAGCAGAAACAAATTTTCAAAAATGTATAATTAGAACTTTTTGATTCACCTGCTATTCAATTTAAAAAGATTAAATTTTAGTACAGTTTATTATCTAAAATTTACATAGTAATTTGGATTTTAATGCAATTATTATGAGATAAAATTATTACTTATTCTGTCTACTGATGAGATAGAGAATCTGAAGATGAGAAGTTCCACTAAATTCCACTAAATTTCATGTAATAAATAATTAAATTCCTATGTTGCAGGATGTTTCTCTAAATTCTTCTCTCAACTCTTTTTATTTAAAAAAATATATTAAACTATTTTAAGAGTCAAACTTTTCATTATGTCACAAATAATTTTGAAACTATACAGAACTTCATCTTTATACTGTTTTTTAAAAAGTCTAAAGTATAAAAACTGAATTCCTTCTAAATAAAATAAAACTAATTTTAAAATCCTATTAGAAATAATATTTAACATTAAAATTTCTGTTGACTTAAAATACTAATGTATCAAAATTAATTAATTAATCATCAGTAAATGACTGAATAATTATTTTTGTGAATAATAATAAAAAGCTTACGTCATACATCATGTAATGCAGTGTAAACAATGCAAAAGAACAAATTAATTTGTAATCATTGTAAATTAATTGTATAAAAATGATGGTATCATATAAACACATGGTCATTAAATCTCTATGCATATTAATTTAAAATACATAGCCTTCTCTCCATTCTCTACGCAAATTTTCATTTTTTCCCTAAGTTCTGGATATTTTCCTCCAACTTTCTTTTGAAAATTATTAAAATAGACTTTTGATAATCATATTTCAGACTTCAACTATAAAGCTAAATTTAGTTCAGAAATTCTTTTAGAATGCCCCAAAGAAAACTCACATAATAACAGGATTTCAAGGTTACATCATATCCATTTTCCACCAAATTACTGTTTATGTGATTATTATTCATATCTCATCTGCAGTTTATGGTTGTTACTAAATGATATACAGTTATTTTCAAATCTGGATCTTAAAATTAACATTACTTTAATGAAATCTTTTCAAAATAATAAATTTTTTAAACATGATAATCATGTGGAGTATTTAATGTAAGCAAGCAAAACAAGAAATACCCTTTGTCAGAAAAGTTCCAGGACAAAAAATAGAAAATTGCAATTACCAAGTAATGTTCCTAGCTCATGACAAAGTAATCCCCTCAGCTATCTATACAGAATTGCCAACATTTCAGGAAGTCTTGGAAGCAAGCAGCAGAGAAAGCTTCAAATGTGATGCTTGTTAGCTCATTCCTCACAGTTTGTTGGATGTTTACGATATCTTGACGAAATGTCCTTTCAGTTGCTTGAGGAAACGTCCCTTACAGTTTCAACCCTGTCAGAAAAGTGTGATTTTTCTTGTTTCCACAAGTGAAAAAGCAACTGACATTTTGTCAAGATATCGCAGACATGCAATAGACTGTGACAAATGAGCTAACAAGCATCACACTTGAAGCTTTCTCTGCTTGCTTCCAAGACCTCTAGAAATGTTGGCAATTTTGTATAGATAGCTGAGGGGACAACTTTGACAGGAGTTAGGATCATTACTTGGTAACTGCAATTTTCTATTTTTTACGAGCTTTGTTCTGGAACTTTTCTGACAAAGTGTGTATCTTTAAAAAAATGAGTCTAAACTGTGGCTTATCTGGGTACAAAATTATTATAATTCAAAATCAAAATTTAATGAAACATTATTTAAAATATTACTCTCAAAGAATTCAGGTATGTGAACTAAAAATCCAGAATAATTTCCTCAATTTTTTTTCTGCACAGACATTTGAAAAAATCACATGTATAGCTTTTCTGTTGCACATTTCTGTTATTTATTCAATTTTATTTTTTTGGAATTGTTCAATATAGGGAAATGGAAGACCTAAAAGAAGACAAAAACACCATTAGAAATTTTAGGTTCCAATTTGGAAATTTCAAATTATATAATTTCAGACCTGAAGCAGGTTTATAAAATAAATCAAAAACATATTTTATACAAACTCATTGTGATGGAAAATTATGTAAACTGTGATTTTCTTACTAGTTATCCATTCTAGTTGTAATTTTGAACTTTAGTTATAGCTGCTGTTGATAGGGTGGACCAGCCTCTCTGTAAACTGGGTCAAAAGTTTACAATATTTCATTCACATGTGCATGTGATATTAAAAATCAAGCGTATTCTTGTTAGGAAATGATTTCTGCACCCAATATACTGTGAAGCAGTTAGAAAATCAAAACAGATTACTGCAATGATTGAACAAAAACAATGTTGTTCAATCATTGCCTGAATGTTGTTATGGACAAGTCTTACTTTACAATGGATGGCTCTGAACATGTGAGAAATAAAAGTTTTCTTTGTGAAAAGGAAAGGATGGTATGCCAGAAGTGAAGTTCACTGTTACTGATGAAGGTTTTGGTTTGAGTGGCCATAAACCTTTTATCTTACCATGTAAATTTTGCATTAACATTAATTATATAGTGTGGAATGCATCAAAACGAAATTAGTATTGTTCTTGAACAATGCTTGACAAAATTGCTGCCTTTAACCAACACAAAATATGTCACATTCCTTATGAAAATAATGTACAGGTATCTAATATAATCCAACTGAGACCAATGAAATGGTTTTTGTACCAATATACAGATTCTCCGTTATACAGATTCTGCTTTACAGAATCTGTATAATGGAGGGTGGAGATAATTCCACCACAAAACTTTACAAAATAATTTAGAACAAGTTCCACCAATTTAAAACATAACGTGTGAAAACAAATGTTCGAAAGGCAGCGATGATGTAGATTCGATTATATTAAACTGACAAACTGCTTAAATATGTCTTTTTATTTTACGTCATTTTGTCACTTCCAGAATAAATTCGTTTTCCTACCCCAGATTTTTAAATCCTCATTCATGCAAAATCTTAAAGAAATAAAATACTCATTATTTATTGAGAATTATATCATACCCACAGTACTGCTATATCGTTTTGCAATTAAGTATTTCTTTGTTTTTAAAAGTATCTTAAACCTTCTAAAGCTTATCATTTCTAACCAACAACCACGTGCTTCTCAAGCCGGAAGTTTGTTATCGTACTTCCAAAAATTCTCACTAGAGGCAGTAGTCACAACTGCTCCTGATTAAGTAGATGATTAAATATGTATTAATTAAATAATTAAATAATAGATAATTATCTATCTAAATTTAAGGAATATAAATTTCAGAGCTTTTTTTTACCTTGTGTGTCTCATTCATTAAATTTAGATTTTAAATATCAAGTTAGTTCTTTGCTATACTGACATTAAAAATCATTATTTTAGCTTTTATTTCTGCCGATACGTCTATATCGCTCTTCAACTACCACATAAAAATATATCTTGCCGGCGTGTTCAAACAGATGCTAAAATTCAAACTATATCGGTTTCCTAGTAATGAAGCTAGGAAAAAAATTATGGGCGATTAAAGTATACAGGCTTGAATGAAAATGAGAAATTACGGATTGCTGGAAAACATGCCGTACTTTGTGAGGTAAGAATGTAAGAATCAGAAATTTTATGAAAAAAAAACCTCTGCTCTGCCGGCCTATTTAATTGTACATTGCACATTAATAAATCAAGGCTAAAGTATATTAAGTCTGTTAATACATTTTAGCCATTACAAATTTATTGGTTTAGTGAAATGCGGATATTTACAATTAACTCCCATACTGATCTTTCTCATTTTGAGAAAGATCAATATGAGAATCACAGGAAAGATGGAAGAAGATTGCTGAAGCGTGATGCCACGCCTACGTTATTTTCTCACAGACCACCTAAGAGAAGAAAATGCTCTGGACCAAAAACAGGACATGGAAACAATTCTGATCATATAGATCCGGCCTTACACCACAATTATGTTACAAATTTGTCGCCTATGACATCTATGCAGGTTAGTACAGGTATATTTATAATATAAATTTAAAATATTCTTAATTAAATATTTTGTTTTTTCTTATTAAATACAGAAAATGGTGATGAATGTGAATGCACGAATTAAGATGAAGATAATGAGACATCTCGTATAGTGTTTCGGGACTCCAGTAATCTTGTTAGCCAGCCACTGTCACCAACATCAAAACAAATTAATGAATTTAATTCCAATTGCATGATGCATTACATAGAGTTAAAAGAGTGCAGGAAAGTAAGAAGGATGTCTATGAAGAAATAACAAAATTAAAGTCTAGAGTCAACATACAGAGTATAAACATGAAATAATTTTCAATCCAGATCAAATTACAGCCCTTGGAAACGTATCGACACGGGAAATAAAATGGCAAAATAATACAATAAAAAATACTCAACAGTTAGGATTTGCTTGTGGAAGATCAGGATATAAAATGATACATTTAGGAATTACTAGATTAATCCATGGTGTATCGTATTATAAATCAATTAAAATGAATCAACGATTGAAATGTGGATTAAAATTTTCTTACAGTAAATTTAAATTGTACATTGTAATTATATTAAGTCTCTCTGCGAATTTGTTTTTACAACAAGCTATCAATAGTTCTGAGAAACTTTTATTTTGTAATGAAATCGTACACTTTTTCTATTATTTTAATCGTAAAAATAATATATTTCGTTGTGGATACTTGCACATGATTATATATGGCTGATGAGTGTCTTGTGTACCAAAATGCATACTAATAATAAAGTCTCATTCTGATGCTAGAAGTGTCATTTTAATGTAATCAGTAGCAGTGTAATTAATTTCTGTTATCTCTACTATTCCATTTGATATATTGATTTGAACAATTTTCGAGAGAAGAAGCTCATTTATGGTTTTCTTACAATACATAACCAATTAAATTTATCTAAAAACAATACAATCTTTAATAAAAATAAATTCGAAATAATAATATCTTTTTGTATAATGTATCAAAACTTTTATAAACTGTACTTGACTAATTTGTTTTGTATCAAAGCGAAATTTTAAATGGAGAATACAATCAAAATATTTAAATCTTATAAATAAAATAAGATGCTTTTAAGCAATTTACATAATGCACATACTAGTGAAGGTCGCTGGTGCACTTTCAGTTATGTGACATCAATACACTTAAATCAATAGTTTGCGTAATATTCTATTCGAAAATATTCTCTCTTTTAAGAAAATCTGCGTTTGTTTAACAAAATATTTCGCAATAGAACCACAAAATATGATCTTAATCGGCACCTAAAATTCTTCGTATTTTCAGAGTGCTCTTCGATAGTTAAGAGTAAAACATGTCTTCTGGTTACGCGAAACATAGTTTGTGCTTTGTGTGTTTTCTACGACCAATCCTCACGTCTTTACAGATATTTGGAATAATTTTAGGAAACTGTGATTGTAATCAATCTGCTAAAAAGACGAAATATCTGTCAAAGTTATATTCTTTGTACCAAACTGCTATAGAAATATTTATGTGGACTAACATAATTCTTTCTGCTCAAGAAATAACAGACAATTTGATTTGTGTCGGATGGATCCAAATGTTCTCTAATAATCAAATATTAGTAAAATTTATTATAATTACATTTNAATCTGAATATTCTTTTAGCACAGTGTTTCTCAATGGAGGTGATATCGCCCCCATATGAGCATTTTTCCATGTTGAGAGGGTGATTAGTAACAATTTATATTTTGGAGGGCAAAAAACAATTTTCTAGGCGATATAGTAAAACATTATATTAAGAATAATTAGATATTTTATTCGTTATATTGTACAATAATTAAACAAATAACATTACACTAGTCACTAGTCTATTCAATGCAGTACGAATTTGGTGTTAACCTTGGCCCTCGACATCAGAATTTTGAAGTGAAGGGGGCGATACTACATAACGATTTTACTGAAGGGGGCGACGATTCGTTAGAGGTTGAGAAACACTGTTTTAGTACATACACTATTACTAATTTCTTTTCGCACACCCCTAATTCACTAAGTGCATACTCCTGGTTGGGAATCACTGATCTAATACAAAACATTGTAAATAAATTTTACCATAATTGTTTATGCACCATATTTACTAAAATATAAGATGAAATTGAATCTAAGATGTACCTTAATTTCTACATGATCACCCATAGATTTTTTTTTATTTCAAAAAAATAAACAACTCAAGTTGTACACATTAGCCCAGGAGTTATAGTTAATTTGAACATTTAAGATTATACAAATAACAAGTCCTTTTTAATTCCAGCTTAAATGCGATTATATAACAGGAACGCTGTCGTTAGGAATTTGGTTTTAATGTTTGTAGACATCGTAGCCTACAAAAAAAGGGTCGACGTCGAGATAATTTTTAATTGTGAATTTTTTAATAGTATTTGTCTGTTTTAGAAGTTTTACTTCACATTGCCTATTGTTTGTGGTTCCTGGATTGGAATTAAAAAGGATGTGCATAAGAACAAAAAGGACTCGTTGTTTGTATAGTCTTAAATTTTCAAAAAAAACAACTCAAGACAAATAGAACTGATTCTGTTGACATACAATTTGTTCCATATTTACTGCACAGTAAAGTAACTTATACATTACTGTCTTCCATATCATAATTGTAAATCTCTTCACTTTCTGTGTTAGGCTGTTGTGAATCAACATTAGATTTGATGCACACATCTTTCCACATACAATGTTTGTCAGTGTCATTTGAACAAGTTCTTCAAAAAATACATTTCTTGAAAGAGTGCTGCACAACTTTTCTATAATTTTTATCCAAGTAGGTATGATGTTACCATAATAGACTAATGAGACTAAGCTAAGATGATCTTTAAATATTTACTGTTATGAATATTGATCTAATAAAATTCATTACAATGATACAATGAAATTAGTGACAGAGAAATAAGATACATAGCACTAGAGACCACTAATATGACATATTACATAGAATCAATGCAGGATGCAGTCTATTTTCAGAGATATTAAAATTTGAAGAATATATTAGTTTCTTTTTAGATTAAATTTGGATAACTTAAAGCTAGTATATTTTAAATTTCAGAAATGAAGTTTGACAAGAAATAGTAACATATTGTCAGCCAATTTGAAGAATGCATACAATTAAGGAAATCTGCAAAATGCATGTTACATAAACCTCTGGGGTATGGAAAAAACTGTTATATGTCTTACAGTTTTAGTAACATTTATAGTGGAAGTTGTTTAGCTAAGTTTTCACAATGTCTAAGTATGGAATATACACAAGTTTAGCTTAAAAATTTAAAATGAAAAAGAAAGTAAAGCAAAAAATGTGATATTACCAAAACTACAGAATACTGGGGAACACTAAACTAGCAGAAACAAATTTTCAAAAATGTATAATTAGAACTTTTTGATTCACCTGCTATTCAATTTAAAAAGATTAAATTTTAGTACAGTTTATTATCTAAAATTTACATAGTAATTTGGATTTTAATGCAATTATTATGAGATAAAATTATTACTTATTCTGTCTACTGATGAGATAGAGAATCTGAAGATGAGAAGTTCCACTAAATTCCACTAAATTTCATGTAATAAATAATTAAATTCCTATGTTGCAGGATGTTTCTCTAAATTCTTCTCTCAACTCTTTTTATTTAAAAAAATATATTAAACTATTTTAAGAGTCAAACTTTTCATTATGTCACAAATAATTTTGAAACTATACAGAACTTCATCTTTATACTGTTTTTTAAAAAGTCTAAAGTATAAAAACTGAATTCCTTCTAAATAAAATAAAACTAATTTTAAAATCCTATTAGAAATNGAGTCTCCGTAGATATAACAAACAGAAATAAATTACACAAAATAAATTGTAGCTATGCGTCGATTCCGCGCGACACGTCCGAACATTAAGCTGAACAATAGTGTGGGGGGAGTGAATAATCGAGAGTTGCGTGCGCTGAAACAAAAGACGAATCGACGAGATTTGAAAATCGCGTAACTCCGGGTTCGCGTAAGTCGGGGTATGACTGTATCTTGAAATCAAATGATATAATTATTTTTCATTTCTTAAAGTTAATTTAATACGTTCTGCAACCTCCAAAATCATAATAATAATGCTATGTAA